CTGCACTTGTTGCTAACTTCAGTGCACAGGTGAAAATTAACTGAAACTATGTGATTTTTCCGTAATTTGAAAGATCAATTTGAGGTCATGGACCAAAAACACCTAAAAAAGACGTCTTAAAGACGTACATATTAGTGGAAAATGTACGTTTTAAAGACGTCTTAAAGACGTCTCTTGGGCGTAATATGTACGTACTTATGTCCCGACATGTACGTCTTAAAGACGCCTTTAAGACGTACTTTTTGGCTGATTGGGTTACACTATCTCACTATGCATGCTTATATTTCAGAGCACGCTCTCTTCATTTGGAATATTTTCAGCATTGCAGTGTTGCCGCTTCTATCAAAAAGTAGCAACAACTTTGTTATTTCAGACAGAATACCCTGTATTTTATTGTATTTTTAGATTCTCCCTGAAGATTCTCGTAAGAATGTGAAAAAAGTCTTTTCAACACCTTGTACCCAAGGAGGTCACCTTTTTTGAAACACCCTGCATGAAGATGTCCCTTTATTAGAACGACAAAATAGTAGAGATACCTTTCGCAAAGTCCGGAAGATACTAAATATTGAGAATACTGAAAGTTTTGGAAACGTGGCTATATGTTTACATTATTCTTCCCTCTATGACCAGTTTTGGATCTGACATGATTTTTTGATGAAAGAGTATTACTGATGGAAATATACCGAGCATAAATTTGCAAAGAAAAGAGTTTTTTTGGCTATTTCTTCGTAGTCGTTTTATTCTTCCCCAAATCAATCGAACCTGGTATTGTTGGATGCATAAAATTTTCTAATATAGATATATTCATCCATACTCAAAGTGATCCAACGAATTTTCACTTATAATCTTCCAGATATGATGAGAAGACATTGACATTCTGGTATAACTCGTTTTTATTACTAAAATGTGAGAAACATCAAATAACAAATTAGTTATCTGAAATCCAATGTCTTCGTAGTTTTAAATTCAAATTAAACTTGAAAAAATATATTTCCGATGAGTTTAGTCAAATATGATGCACTATATTTTTACGATAGACGTTGATTTTACTCGATAGTAACACACATAACTAACATAACATCTGATATTATATGTCTAGGGAGCTTCAAATGAAACTTAAAAATAGTATATTGTTCAACGAGCACGGAATGACAGTGATTTCCTACGAGAATGAAGTTCGAGTAGGAAATCAGCATTCAGTGCAAGTTATACACTATAATTCTTCTACGGCTATAATAGATAACAGCGGCAATTTCGATTTCTTCGTCTTGCAGCCATCTGATTTTCTGTCAAGTGATGCTCATCTATTAGACAGAGCAGTCATTGCTTGAAATTTGACATTCCATGAGCGATGAGATTTTCTTGATATAATAACACACTAGAGTCATTGCGATATCAGATATGGAAATAAAATTGATGACATACAAAGTACCTCATTGATGTATCGAACACAGTAGAACACGAGCAATATATAGAAAAACTATATTTTCGATGGGTTTAGTTGAATATGACGTACTATATTTTTACAATAGAAGTTGATTTTACTATCTAGTTAATAAGGTTTATTACTAAAATTTCAGGAACATTAGAAAAATTAATTCGTTTTCAATCATAATATCTGATATTACATGTCTACATAATATAGACTAAACTAATGGCGATCGTACGATTATTGAATTCCTCCAATAATGTAAATTATATAAAATTTGAAATTTTGGCGAAGGCCCAATTAAAATTGGCGTATTTTTTGGATCGAACTTGTTGGAAATCGAAATTATCAATTTTTTCAATAGCTTATATGAAATTTACAAAAATACCATCGAACATTCAAACAAGAAGAAATTCTGTGAAACATTGTATAAGAGTTTTTGAAACATGGAGATAAAAAGTCTGAATTCAGTTATAAAATAAAATACAAACTTCCTACGCTATCGTACGTATTCGTTGCAAATGAAAAAAAAAAGAAATAAAAGTTCCTACAAGCATATTCTTGAAGTCTTCGTTTCCTTAATATACACATTTGTGAAACACATTTTGTGAAAAATCTGAATTCAGAGAAAATAGTCTGGATTCAGTGGAAAAAATCTGAATTGAGATAAAAACGAGGAGAAGAATGTCTGAATTCAGAGAAAACACTCTGAATTCAGAGAAAAATCTCGGAATTTACAGGAGAAAGTCCGAAATCAGAAAAAGATAAAATACCTACTCGGTGGCCTATCTATACGCTTCCGTGAATAAGCACACGGAGAAAAAGAAATTGTTTAATCAAGCAAAATTTAACAGAATGAAGCAAATATAAGTATCATATATGCACGACAAAATATAATCTTGAAATGAATGAATCTTTATCTTGTTTCAGAGCGAATTTGAAGTTTGAATCAAGTAAATATGCCTTGCATGAACTCTGGATCTTATTCAATCAATCACATCCGAGACATTGAATTGGCCCAAACAATTATTTTGTTTGATTCTCAATAACAAGATTCGGTCAAATATTCAGTTAATTCAAAGAAATATTTGGTTAATTCAAAGGAATATTTGATTGATTCAAGAGAAAACCGTATGCCCATTCGACAAATTGTTTGGTTGAATCAAATTCAGTATTGATTCGGAAATTTTTCTGAAATTTCACATTAATAGAATAAACTAAACTAGGAAACTAGTTGTCTTCCATCATAGATCTCCAGTCTTCACTTCTCTGCAGCTGTGAGCTGATGCGAAACTATTTTGGCTTGAGTTCGATTTATCCAGTTGATATTTCAAACACGATTGACACGAAGAATCAGTCTTCACCTATGTAATAAATTCGAGGCAGGCATTGACGAGGCAAAAAGATCGCCATCTAGAGGCGAAAATTCAACTTGATGTAAAATGATCGGAATATTTCATTGAAATTGCATGTTTCGTTGCTCAATTCAAGCAAATTATCCGTTCGAAACGAGTTCATTGCTACATCGGAATAAGAAAACTTGTATGTTGTTTCGAAGCTATTGATATTATACTGTTGAACCAATTATACTACATTCTTGATTTGAACAAGCTGCTTCTATGGAATAATCATGTAGCTGTTTGCTGTTTGATTCAACAAAAAATTGTTCAGTCCAACAAAAATAATTCAAGCATAAATAATTTGTTGATGCAACAAATCCTTTTTTTTTTCGTGCAATGTTAGAACTTTCTATAGATGTTTTAATCACCTTGATTATCATGAAGTGCAGTATACTCTCTGAAAATAGATTGCGATCTGGCGTAGTGAAACCATTGTCATCCTCCATTCTAGTATTGGCTGTTCGACTTGAAGTTTGGTTTATTTTCAAGTGGCAACGCTAGGTTATTTATAATCCCGCAACACAAAAGAACATTTCCACCTCACCTTTAGCTAACGAGATCTCGAAGGTTAGAAATACTGAGTGTTGTGTTTGTTGTCTTCGTATTCGTTTCATTTGATGGCCACCAGCAGAGTCATCAATTTATTTTTAGATGTTTATTTGAACTCATCTGTGCGAACCGTGGATATTCTTGAGAAGTTTCAATTGAGCTTTTCATTCTTATTTTTCGCATTGGCCTATATTTACCCAGCGAGCACAATCATCCCTGGGATGTTGGCATGAATACGTTTTTCTAAGACGTAATATGCACTTCCCAAAGAGGTATTCGAAGGATGCAACATCAGGCGTACCACAAGGCTCCAATCCGGGGCCACTACTTTTCAACATTTTCATCAACGACATTGGTAATGTTATTGACGTAAACTTTTTGCTATATGCGGACGACCTGAAATTATATGGGTGCGTGAATCACAGCATAGATGATTGTCAACAGCTTGCTGACAATCTGGGTCGAGTGGTAGAAAATTATTTTATTTATGGACAACATCATTATTTATCATTATTAGGAGAAGAACTTTGATCGTTGCAGTAGGAACTTAGAAAGTAGGAATCTATTTGAGTGCTAAAAATCGGTCCGGACATGACTTAGTAAGAAAAAAATAAAGAAATTTCAACCTTCTGAAATGAAGAATAACCCAAGGAAGTATCTTTAAGTGGATGAAACCATAACTGTTTGGCAACGAATCGATATCATTTAGTAAAAATATAGCAATAGGGAAAAGGAATCGTTCAATAAATACTTTAAAAGCTTACAATTGTTCGAAATAACCTAATCTAACCCGGTATCGTTAAATTCGTTATGATAATTCCCAACCGACTATGGAGAAAATACAGGGTGTCCCATTTGAAATCAAAAGTTGATGTCATTTCCAGGAAAACCGGATATGAAGAAAACCAAGAGGTAAGATTTGATTGTTGGAAGTTCCGAAACTACTGAACCGATTTGAAAAATCCTTTTACCATTAGAAGCCAACATTATCCCTGATGAATATAGGCTACCATTTACCGCGAAAAAATGCTTCATTTCTACCAGAAAACGGGTAATAGTACAACAGGGATAAGAATTATCCTCACGTACTTATCTTTTTCACCTAACTTCTAAACGGCTCAAACGATTGGGTATAGGTTGCGCTGCTGTCGGTTTTGAATACGTGTAGAACAACGAAAAAAATACAAAAGATACTGAGAGAATAAAAATAGACGTGAGCATATAATACGTATATAATACTAGGTGAGCACGAAGAAGAAATAACTAAAAAATATGTACTGTAGATACGCGCAGAGCTCAGAACGACTGCAACAAATGTCGTATTTTTTTTTAAATGGCCGGGCCGGACAGCTATAGTCTATTATAATAGTACCCAAAGGAAAAACATAACTAAAAAATATGTACTATAGATATACGCGCAGAGCTCAGAACGACTGCAACAAATGTCGTATTTTTTTTTAAATGGCCGGGCCGGACAGCTATAGTCTATTATAATAGTACCCAGAGGAAAAACATTCTCTCATTCCCCTCCTGCAACACGAAAGGTAAAAGTACCATAATTTCAGTATCATATCGCCTGAATCTTCTCCCCCCACTCCACCAAAACGGATCCCCCGAAACAGCCCCCCACTTACCCCCCCAGCCACCCGAGATCGATGCTCTACAAGCCGGTCTACCTCAAACCGGGCGAGAAGCAGATGCACCCCCCGGAATCGCTCATCCCCATGGGGAGGCCCGCTCCTTCTCCCCCACCGATGCCCCAGGCGCCCCCCACGCCACCGATCGCTCCCCCCGTCGGAGGATACGGAGACGAGGCTGCAGGAGGCGCTGATGATGGCGATGAGGGGGTGAAACGTCTGCCCATGTTGATTGCAAGGTGAACACAAATGAATTTTGAGGATAGGCAATAACCATTGTCTGCTAAATATGGAGAAAAAATCTAGTGAGCTGTAGTTACTGGTCTGCTCTATAGCTCAGTTCAGTGTATGACCACCAGAGGATGTAACCGTATCGGACGAAAGGATCGTCACTTTTTTCTAGAAAATTTTCGATATTTGTGGTTATGTAAGTTGTCAGTGTCAAGAACCGTCGTGCCATCGTGACTTGTATTGTATGAAAAAAATCTTTCTTCTTCAATTCTCGCATTGTTCTAATATTCCTTTTATTTATAGATATACTTTTGTATTGTGCTCCCAGCATTATAGTTTATTCTGATTGATAATTTGTTACAAACTCTGTCTCTCAATTGTGTCTATCAGAAAGTGTGAAACCGGCTCCATTCATAGATTTCCAAGTGATATTCTTCTGCGACATTATTGAATTCATTCGATATTGAGTGTTACAGGCTCATTAGAAGTGAGATAATCAGAGCCCTGATCAAAAGCTAATAATCTATACTACTCATTCTACCTCCCATTTCATTTAGGTGTTGAACGTTACGCAATTGGAGACTATTGTATTGTCTGTAGAAACCATTTTGAGAAGAAATAATTTTTTGAATTTTTGAATGACTGAGTGACCGTGACCCGTGACTATATGTCTTGAAACTGAACAACAAACTACTCCACTACACTGTTTTACCACTAACCAAACCGATTTTTTAACGCCTCGACACGTGTTTCGCTAACTATGTTAGCATCTTCAGGAGAAGATTAAAACTTGAAACTACTCGGCAGGCCGAGAATGTCGAGAGCACCGCTGAGGGAGCTGCTCAACTCGTTTACGACTTTCAAGGTTATGTAGGTTTGACAGGAAAACAATTGAAATGAGTGCTTCCTCGAGTTGACCGTATGGCGGCACTACGGTATCGGCCACAGAAACCTGTAGGTGATTTCCATTGTTTGAGTAGACCAGATACTACAGCTCACTAGATTTTTTCTCAATATTTAGCAGACAATGACAATAACAGAGGAGTAACTACGCAACACTAATTTCGTTGCACCAGAAATTTTGCCTCTGTTGAAATATGAATAACTTTTTTCTGCTTTGAACGATTTGAATTCGGATCACACTGTTCGCTAGCCCAGTCCTTCAGCTATAATCTCATAATTCTATTTCTTCACATAAAATCGTAACAGGGTGTTACCTGAAACTGTGCAAAATTTCGGAAATTTCAAGAGTATCCCAAATGAAGAAAACCTTTTTCTTCGACTTTGACAGTAGAGGCATGTAGATGATCTCATTATCTTGGGACTCTTCTTGAATTGTCTCCTTATCTCTTTTATTTACAGAGTGATCTCAAAAAATTAACTTTTTGGTTTTGCAGTCATACCTTTTTTCCTTGTCAACCGATTTTTGAAATCTCAGGCCCATATTAAAGCTTAAACTTCAGACGAAGAGATATGAAGATAATGAAATGACTTAAGATGAACATTATACAGTGTGTCTCACTTCTAATGCAAGAATATTATAATTTTGTATACTTTCGCAATTATTACATCAACATGTAGGTACTTATTTGCATTTGCATTTCAAATTATTGTCTCTATGGCATTGTCTTTTCTTCTAATTACATTTAATTGCCTCGTTCTCCTCTACACTAATACATTTTGTTATTATTATCATTATTAGATCCGGTGAAATTCTCAGGTGTTTATATTGACCCTTTTTTGACATTGCATGGAAACTCATGCAAACAAATTGATCAAGAAACTCTCTTCCATTATATCCAAAATAATGTATCTGTGGATATTCTCATGACAGCCTATATGTCGCTTACTTCGATTCGAATATGACATATTATGCTCTTCTAAGCTGGGGTCGATCCTGCCACCTATCTAAGGTCTTCGGAGTTCAAAGACGGTGTGTGAAAGTTATCTCAGGACTTACTTAAAGAGACTCCTTGTGCCTATATCCTCGAATGTGTTGTCTAGGTAAAAAAAAATTTGGATGCATATAGTACAGCCGGAGATTCTTACTACGGCTACGACACACGTAACACCGTAACAGAGGTAAATTGTTACCTAAATATCATCGCCTTGAAAAGACCAGAGACGGTACTAGCACCGAACATAAACAGTGACGTTTTTATGTTCGGTGGTATACTAGTTACTTCGGCCCCAAAATGTACAATGTACTCCCAGATGAACTCAAAAATGTAAAGGACCCCGCACCGCAATAGGGGGGAAATTGGCCTTCTACTATTGAATTTAGGGCGTTGATAATTGGGACACCTGATCAGCATCACGAGTTCTACGATATATCCAAAATTCGATAAAATTCACCGAAAGCCAATTTCCCCCCTATTGCGGTGCGGGGTCCTTTGAATTCAAATTGTTTTACTAAAATCTTTAAAAATTATCTTTTAACAAAAGCATTTTACTCAATTGGAGAATATCTCACAAACAATTTCAATGATTGGGTATTATCAAAATAGAACTGATCAAGTGAACAAGACCCAGAGTTTTTTTCTAATTATTTTAACATGTACATGATTTCGATAGTCTTATATACAGGGTGTTTCATGAGAAGACTCACATACCGAAATGGTTAATAGGGGAAATCAAGACGAGTTGATGTATATTTATATGGACACATTTTTTGCCCCTCCATAACGAAGATACAGAGTATTATGTGAAATTGCTATAGAACTTTGATGGTCTATATTACAAAAATGATTCGTCGTGATCTGCTTAAATTTGGCAGGAACGTATCTCTACTGAACTATATTCAAGATAACATATTATGAAAAAGAATATCCAGGTCCGGACTTGGGAAAATTTCATGTTTCATTGTTATGTCAAAAAAGTTCACTTTGTGACCACTTTTCTCGAAAAATTCCATCGGATTCAGGAAGATCAGACAAAATTCTATGGGAACTGCTCTTCAGTTCACACGGCACACTTTGACCGGTTCAACAAAAAAATATGGAACAAAATCGTTTTAAATTTCGACCTGGCTGATAACTGTCAACTTTCAACTGGTATCATGTGAATTGATTTTTTCTTCATTTTTGTTGAATAGTAATTGACAGAAAGATATACGAGAAGAAAAAAACACGATATTTTTCATCGAAATTCCAGATAGATATTATATAGGTCCTGTTTTTCATTTGTGTGACGAGACGTGCCGTTTGTTGATAATCCGAACTGATAGGTAGGTACTAGGCTAGTACTAGGTAGGTACCAACTGATGAAATTACTACATGAGGATTCATGTGCCCATATAATGGTGATTTATCAAATTAGTTATGCCATCACGCATAAACTATTGCATTTGCTATTTATTCAAAATTCCTAATGTTCATCCCCGTGAAGGATTCACTGCAACGTATTCTTGGGTCTGGAAATATTCTATGGTATTAAACATAGCATAGCATTTGTTTTTTTTTGGTCTTGTTCAGCATTTGGAATATGAAGTGGCACCTAGAGTGTAAGAATATTTCGATTACCAGTGTTTACCTATCAACAAACGTCACGTTACATAAAATAAAAACAGGGTCCACTTTATAACAAATTTATAAAATAGAGTCACGAGTAATCATATCTATCTAGAAGTTCGGTCAAAAACTAACATGCCAAATCCTGAAAAAATCAGAACTAATCTCTTATGTCAATTAATATCTAATAAAATTGTACAAAAAATCAATTCAAACGAATCCAGTTGAAAGTTGAGAGTTATCAGCCAGGTCGAAATTGAAAATTCATTCGAATGTTTTTGTTCCATATTTTCTTATTGAACCGGTCAAAGTGTGCCGTGTAAATTGAAGAGTAGTTCTTATAGCGTTTCGTCTGATCTTTCTGAATCTGATGAAAGTTTTTGAGAAAAGTGGTCAAAAAGTAAACTTTTTTGACATAACAATGAAACATAAAATTTTCCTAAGTCCGGACTTGGATATATTTTTTTAAATATGTTATCTTGAATAGTTTTAGTAGAGATACGTCACTGCCAAATTTCAGCAGATTACGACAAATCATTTCTGTAATATCGACCATCAAAGTTATATAGCAATTTCACATAATATTCTGTATCTTCGTTATGGAGGGTCCAAAAATTTTTTCATATATATACATCAACTCGTCTTGATTTCCCCTATTAACCATTTGACTATGTGAGTCTTCTCATGAAACACCCTGTATTTGTATATTGTCCAGCGACATGTATAAGTGTATGGACCTTTTCATGACTTGTGTAAGTACTTAAAATCTATCTATCTATTATTATTCTTCGGATTTACGGGCAAAACATAGATGGAAAATTGTCGTACCCCCCGAGGCCACCAGGGACGTGCTCTCGGGCAGGGTACCCTACCTCCTGGTGGAGAACGAGGGCATCACGGTCTTCAAGCCAGTGCACGTGTTCGCGGCACTGAAGCTGCGCAAAGAGACTGTCGTCAGGTTGGAGGATTATGGCTGCGTGGGAGCGCATGAGCGGTTCCTGGAAAGGAAGCCGAAGAAGCGGGAGGGTTTGGGATACCGGAGGAAGTATCTGTCGCCAGAGCTGGTCGGGAGAGGAATATTCGTAAGTAAAGTGTTAAGGTCTGAAGTGGACCCTTTACGTGCAGTTTTTTCTATAGATTCCTCTCGGAGCGAAGTTCCATGCCAAAGTACACCATCATTCCATTTCTTCTTTTCGTCAAGTTTTTCATTTTCGTGGATCTTGTTTCGCGATGTGTTCATTGCATTCATAAAGAAAAATAGCATGTTTGATACTATTTGATCATCAAACAAAACACAAGCATGCCTTTCCTCTAGAAAAACCGATCTCACCAACATAAGCTTTTCAGGAGTAACCATACCTTTGAAGACATCCATTTCGATGCTTGGTATTACTGTCAGCAATAAAATCTTCCCTGGGAAAATCACGTGAGATCAATGGCTAAATGTGCATCCCAAAAACTTGGTTTTCTGTTTCGGGCCAGGAGCTATTTCACTTCCAGTCAGTTGCTTATGATCTATAAGGCACAGATACGACTTGTCCTGGAATACTGTTTCCATATTTGGAGTGCAGGACCCAAACATAGCCAAAAACTGTTGGATTCTATCCAAAAAAGGGCAATTCGTCTCGCTCACAAACTCACTCACTTCTCTGGAACACCGTAGAAAAGTTGGCGATCTGGATTTATTTTATAGATATTTCCATGGACGATGCTCTTCTAAAATATCAACGATTGTTCCTCCTTTGGCAGTCCCCGCGTGATTAGCCCGTCGAGTTAGGGCCACGCACCGCTTCGTGGTCACTTTGGAGACTTGCAAAACATCTCTTTCCAAAGACTCGTTCATCCAACGAACAGCGAGGCTCTGGAACACATTGCCAAGGGAGGTGTTCCCCGAGGCATATAACCTCCAGAGGCTCCAGAAATTAAAGAAGAACACCAATACCTACCTTATTTTCCTCGGTTCTCACGATGTTCTCTGAACATTACAGGATATCCCCTTTCGTGGGAACCAGAACATGAAAAAAGAGTCCAGAGTCCAGCAGAAAGAAAAAATATATTGGTCTAGAAAATGGTCCTTGCATCATAGTGAATTGAACCATCTTGATGTCTAGACAGAAATCTACATATAAATAAGATATATACATATATATTTATCTTTCATTCTTTTTTCGACCTCTACAAAAAATCACATTTCACGTTTTAATTTCCGAACGAAACTCCGACTATTTCCGGAGGCATGTACTTTCTGTCCGCAAACACTTTTCGTCTGCTGCAGGGTTGCAGTTTCACTAATACTTACTAAGTCTTTAGTAGATCTCCTGATTTGCATATTGATCTAGTGATCTACTGAAACATTTCCTAACTTACTGAAGGTATTTTGACACTTATTCATTATTATAATCACCTTTATTGTTATTAATCTTTAGATAATCACATACACTTATGAATTCCATGATATTTCAGCACGCTCTGTTAAAATTAATTTTCCGAAAATGAGTAATGAATTTACATATATATAGGTACTAAGATGTATAAATCAAAAAAGGACAATACTTCATCTGATTCAGATCAAATTGAATTTTTTATATTCCTCTGTTGTAACAGTTTGTTTCTTACGTTAAACTTTGTTGTTTGTTTTGTATATTTGTTGTTCATTTTCACTATTCGTTCCTGTTTTTTATGTACTCAAATCTTATAAGTACCTATGTAACTGTATTAGGTGATATTTCATGAGAATGTTTGCAGTGTGTATAAAAGATATAAAGGATACTCGATTTCAATTTTAGTTCACCCCTGCTTATAATTTCAGCTATGAAAAAAATATGCCTTGAAAATTTTGAAAAACATTTTTTTTTTCTATGAAGTGCCTCTTTTGTAGCGAAAGTTGCTCAAAATATCATCTAACCAAATTTCAAAGTTCATACACCCTACGGACCCAGATTTTGATTGTCTGATTAACTTTTTGGTTTACGAGTTACTAATAATCATTAAATATAATCAAAAAAAAGAATAATCATAATCATATCACATTATTCAATTCATAACATAATCTCGGAAGGAATATGCAGAATTGATCTTTTCAATAATTATCTGTTCTTGTGTGTATTCATTAAACATCATTCATTGTAATCACATTCAATTTAATTTTAATTATAAATGTTTCAAGAATATAGAGCTGTGCAATAAATAAAGAGTGAAGGTAATTATAACATCATGAGATGATTGCCATATATATGAATTGGCCGAAAATTAGGTCGATGTTCCCTTTTATTTTCAGTGGCAGTCGATTATTGATATCTGGCAGCATGTCGATACTCTTTACAGTTGTTTTCATTTCCACTACAATCAGAATAAAATATTCACATGTCCTGAACTTTTGGAATTACCATCCGAAAAAATACCACTATGTTGTAAGCGTTCCCATCTAGCTGGAAATTAATGAAATATTTGTATTCATATAAATTATGTTTCAATTTGGTCCACTCCACCTCTGTACTTTTGTATTCGTAGGGCAATTTTAATTTTTTTTTTCGTAATTCACTGCTCGAAATTATCTACTTTGTGAGCAAAGAAAGATTATCAATCACAATTTTTTTGCCTGCTGCGATCACAAAAACTCTAGCAAAATTAAAGAAACCAGATAAGGAAATAATGCTTCATCAATTCAAACAATACCTCATAAGGGGTGTTTTTTTGTCAAAGTTACAATTTTTAAATGATTGGATTTTTCAAGTAACCCTGTATAATAATTCTTAGAATTCAGGCATGATGGTAGTCAGGATTAGATCATCTTGCTACAGAGTGAGAATAGAATCACTAGAAATTCAGATTTTTTATCAAGAAATAAAAAAGAAACAGCAATTACTCCTAACAAATTCAGATTTTTGTATTCTCGATCTAATCTCCTTCATTCTCAACACTTTTCATGATTTCAGATCTCTTTCCGCACGTCATATTTTCAACTCTCCTCCAAGGATTACAAATTCAGGCCAAGAATTATAGAAGAGTTGCAACAAAGAAACAGTTTGCAGAAGAACTGAGAACAGTTGAAAATAACGTGCGAAGGATATGAAAAGTATATGCAGAATGAATGAGATGTGATCGAGAATACAAAAATGTGAACTGCTTAGAAATGGTTGATGTTTTCATTCTCTGTCTAATCTTTTGATTTGTTGTTGATAGGTATTATTTAGTTTCTTCTCCCTTTTTATTTCTTGATAAAAAAATCTAAATTTCTAGTGCATGAATTCAATCGTTATTCATCTCACTCTGTAGCCAGATGACCTAATGAAAAATGCAATTATTCAAACATTGTAACGTAGATAAAAAACACCCATGATGAGATATTGTTCTCAAAATTGATATAGGAGTATTTGTGACCAGTCTGAATCGACTGGCATTATTGAATTTTTCGTAAAAAATGCCTAATCCGTTTTCTTTAATTTTGCTGAAGCTATTGTGATCGCAGTAGGCTAAGAAATTGTGATCGATGATTTTTGTTTGCTCGACAAAGTTAATTTTGGGTAGTATATTACGAGAGAAAAAGTTACAGGGGTGGGGTGGACCAAATTGTAGCATGGTGTATAAACGAGGAGAGAGAATTCGAAAATATCTGAAGAAATAAAAATTTTAGCAACTCTCGGTTTGGTTTAAACAAAATGGCGTCAACAAATGCGGAATGTGACGATACGTAATATATCTGAAAATATTTCAAAAATTGTCTCCCGAACTGTGCCACCTTGTATACTTCACACAAATTATTATATTGAGAAGAAACCACGAAACGGTTCCGTTATTCATAATGTTATATTATAATCCAGCATCTACCAATTACATTAGAGGTAGATATTTCAGATCCCTCGTAGGTATATACAGGGTGTTTCATAATTGAATGCTGATCCTAAAGGGTGATAATCCTTGGATGATTTTAAGAAAACTTCTTCATGTGAACATAGGTCCGTAACAGCTTCGTTTCTGAGATACAGGATGTTGAAATTTAACAAAAAAATCAGTTATTCCCCAATATCTCTGAAACCGCTCTGGCTTTTTTCTTCATTACAAATACTTAAAAATAGTTACCATAAAATTATAAAAATATTGCTCAGATCTTTTGGTTACCACAATTGTGAAATTATGACTAAGAATAGGGACAAGCAAATGAATGCATTTTATTTTCTAACTCAAAAACCGTTCGCCGGACGAAAAAAAGACAAGAGACCATTTTTATGAGAAAATAGAGGATAATTACAAAAATAATATTCATTTGGAAAAAAGACAGTGGCGTATCATTATTTTGATGAAAAATATGACAGGGTATGTTAACAGGGACGCCACTGATGGAAATTAAGAAATCCTCCATTATGGAAAAAATGTATTTCTATTCATACTCGGCATGTACCAAAATTGAAGAAGAAAGCCAGAGCGGCTCCAGAGATATTGGGGAATAACTGATTTTTTTGTTAAATTTCAACATCCTGTATCTCAGAAACGAAGCTGTTACGGACCTATGTTCACATGAAGAATTTTCCTTAAAATCATCCAAGGATTATCGCCCTTTAGGATCAGCATTCAATTATGAAACACCCTGTATATATATATTTTCTCTCGTATATTTATACTTTGGAAACTAGTCTGATGTCTGGTTGAACGATGTAAAATACGATACTCCGGAATACCCCTGATCATCGTTTTTTGAATTTTCTCAAATTTCATCCATAAACAGAAGTTTCCCATTCAATTTGCACCTGTTCACCTGTTGCTTTCCGACGACAGGTGAACACACTACTGTGCACGTCTGCATCGCTCTCCCCATATTATCTTCAAACCAAAGCCAACTTTTCTTCTTTGAACCAAGAGTACCACGACCGATCGCTTCAGTATCAAGCAGGTGTCGGTAGGTGCCGCTTATATAACTACACACTTTCGGTACGACCAGCGAAGGTACGACCGTTGTTTGTAGACCATTACAGATTACGGGACCGACTTTTATCAAAATTTTTGAGTCGCGTGCCGCGTTGCCATTGTCAGTTAGCCGGATGTGCCGCTTTCAATAATTCGACGTTCGTGTATCAAAAATGTAAGT